AGACAAGCAACCAGGATCACCCACTAGAACAAGCACTTGAATCTCACTAAGTTTAGGTAAGTTACTAAAGTATTAGGAAATTCTCTTGATACAACCTTCAAAGCACAGCTGCAATCTAAGTGCTCTTTGTATTTTCTTTTCTTTTTGGCCACTTGCAATGCTCCTACTCTGCTCTGAGCTGAGCACAATCAAATCCAGTCTCTATTCTGATTTTTGATCACTCTGCCTGGGCCTTAGTGACTTCCATGCTGCTTGTCCAAGCAGGACACTTGTGTTCGTGCCTTTACTCTTAGGTATCGGCTCAGCATATTTCCTCTAGTTTCTTCAAGTCTCTGCTTGGGTGCCATGACATCTCAATGTGTCTGCTTTGACAACTTTATTTAAGCCTGTAGCTCCTTCTCCTGCATCCCCCTCTTCCTCTTATCCCCTCCCTCTCCTCTCTGTTTTTCTCTCTCTCTTTCCCTCTCCCTCTCTGAGGCAGGGTTTCTCTGCATAGCCCTGGCTGTCCTGGAACTCACTCTATAGATCTGGCTGGCTTCAAACTCACAGAGATCTGCCTGCTTCTGTCTCCTGAGTGCCTCTCAGTTTCTGAACTGCCAGTTTACTTCTTGCAGCACAATGACTTGCTATCTATCTCCCTGTATTATAATGGCAGTCCCACGAGGGCTGTGACTGTCTTGTACACTGGTGTAGCGCCAGGTTCTAGGACAGTAGGTGCTTGAAAAGTATCCCTTGAATGAATATCTTAAGAAAATATACCCAATTCAACAATGTCAACGAAGTAAACTGACTATTCATTCACTCATACAAAATGCCCATATTTCAGGCACCATCAACATAATGGTACCTGAGTATAGAGGCCAACACACTGCAAGTCCTCTGCTGAGTCTCCCTGACATCTGAAATATGGGGCTTTTGCCTAGTGATTTCTTAATTTGCAGTCTGAGAATTACTTCTCTATTTCCTTCTTTAGTAGGTTTTCAAGTGCTTCCTAAAAATTACATGGCATGTTCCTCAGAAAAAGAAACTAATTTAATATAACCCAGTATAAAACTACTTTCAGGCCTTTGCACACACTGTTCCTTCTCTGTGAAATATTCCCTTGTCCTCATACAACTACCCTTTCATTCAAGACTGTCTTCAGGAAACCATCTGATGCTGTCTCTTAATGATACTTACCACCTCTCTAAAAATTGGTTTGCCTGTCTATAAAGATCACACACCAAAACTTCTTTTACTCTTGTATACTTCAAAAAATAAAAAAGATGTGGCTAACTAGACATGATGGGATTACATTTCTGTAATATCAGCACTTAAGGTAGTAGTCAGGAAGCCAACCTCAACTACACAGCAAGTTCAAGACCAGTTAGAGCAATCATTAGACCCTGTCTCTAAAACCCAAAACCTAACCAAACCAAACCAAAGAAACCAAGACAAACAAACAAAACAGACCCCACTAAAGACAATTATATTTCTTTCCCTGGAACTCATACTAATTCCATGAACTTTTATAATTCAATCAAATGCTAAAGGTGCAACACGGAGACGGAATTGGGATCTAGGCATCTACAGGCCTGGCAACTTCCATTCCTTTGAAGAAGTGAGCCACTGTCCTTCTGGAGATAGGGCCACATGAAAAGAGTGCAGGAAGTGTTGGCTATGAGAGAAGGAAGAAGACCTAGTCAGCTCTCTAGTTCTGGTTACCTGAGCTGAGATGTCAGCAGACTGACTGAGGCCTCTGTGCGCTGGCCCCATGACCTTGGCCAAGTCTGGGTGACAGAGGTGACCAGTTCCAGTCTATCTCTAACCAAACTGTACAGGGAGCAATGATGTCAGCTGTTGTTCAAAGTCACTTAGTGTTGACATGTGGTCAGACTCCAGCAGTATGTAATAAGATGAGTCCCTTAGTCTCTTCTCTGACACCGTCATACTTTCAGGGCTTGCACTTCATGTGAATCAGATATTTATGGAATATGTAAACAGATGCTAAACTAGAAAATGAAGTCAAATATAACTACTTTCATGCTTTGCTTGGTTTAGTTCCCATTATATCAATTACCATGACCCATCAAAATCTGATTATATTATTAGAAGTATTACACATAATCATAACTTGTAATATAATATTTACAAAAATTTATTCTGTCAAAGACAGAATTCACACAAAATAAAATTGTTGAGCAAACAGTTTCACACACAATGTTGTTACATAACTAACACTGTGTTTTACAAATTTTAAGTTTCCAGACTATTTTTTCTTGTATGTATTTTAGAGAGTAAAATATTTGTCTTATATGTGTATATATAACGAGAAAAATTTTACTCTGTATATATTCACTTTTTTGTATTCATTAAATGTAAAAGAACCACATACTGCAACACTCTATTGACAATTTTTCCTGCTTAATTTTGTGGTGGTTTGAATTAGAACCTGCTCTGCCCCCAACAGGCTCATGTCTGAATGCTTGGTCCCTAGTTGGTGAATGATTTGAGAAGGATTAAGTGGTGTGGCCTTGTTGGAGGAGGTGTGTCATTGGGGGTGGGCTTTGAGGATTTTAAAGCCCATGCCAGGCCCAGTTTTTCTCTCTCTGCTTGCTGCCTATGCATCAGGATCTAAAGCTTAGCTACTGCTCCAGCACCATGCCTGTCTACTTCCTGCCATGATGATCATGGACTGACCCTCTGAAACTGTAAGCAAGCTCCTAATTAAATGCTTCCTTTTTTAAGAGTTGCCTTGGTTATGGTGTTTTATCACAGCAATAGACAATTTTCTACTGCATAACTGAAGACTAAAAAAATAAAAGTATTATGTATGTATCTATTGGGTTGTTTAGTGTCAAATTTTCATAATGACAGTATTGATGTCAGATCTCCACATTTGAAAAGAATGAACAAAAAGATATTGCACAACTAATTTGCACTAATGGGTATTTTGTACATTTTACATTGGTTTTCATTTGCTGTTCTTACATTGAATTAGATGGTTTTGGAATTGCTCATGAGGGTACTCAACTTTTAGCAACAAGAATTTCCACTAGTAACTTCTATCTAATTTCCTTAACCATTTAAAATATACCAAAGATTAAGGCCTTTAAAAATATGCCCAGAAGGAAGGAATCACCTCTGTGCATGCTGAAGGTTAGATGGGCCAGGGCCAACACAGCTAAGCATGAAAGCATAGCCTAGGGCTAGAGAGAGATCTCAGAGACTTTCTGGTAGTTAAAAGTGTTAGAAGGTACCAGGAATGAGTGAGAAAACCCACCAAGCTCCTTTAGGGCCTGATTCTGTGTTTTGTGACAGTGATGACAGAGACTGAGACTTCTCATTAACTCAATACAAAGATGGAACAGGAAGAAAAAATAACAATCTCACTGATATTCTAAGAGTACAAAGTGCATTCTATCTAGAACTGTGACTTCCTGCTGTGTTTCAAAACTAGCTGCATGACAGCACCAAACAGAAGAGAAGGGGGTGAGCTTGAGCAGCAGCAGGAGGTAGAAAGGAAAGAGCAGTGGGCTGCAGCAATGTTCAGCACTTCCTTGATCATTCCCTTGCTCCCTGGACCCAAGTCCCTAAGCTGCAGAGTTCTTCTCAGTCCTGGCTCAAAGACTATCCTTGGCTGTAGTATTGCAGCCTTCTGTTTTACTGCTGGCATTTAAGACATCTGAGGATAAAGAAGCATGATCTTCCCCAAATAGGACATGGGGAGCTTTCATGAGGGACCTGCAATTATAAGAAACTTTTGCTCCTGAGGCACTATGTGTCTACTGAGCAGACTCCATGAAACCAACATCAGAAATATCATGAGTCAGAAATGACAACAAGAAAAGGTTTCTATGATTTTTAATAGTAAGCCAAATGAGAACTCTTACTATTGCCAATTTATTCTGCAACTAGATGAACAGAGAAAGAAAGATACTTGTGACATCAGCATTATGATTAATGGGAAAATTTTCGAAGGTCATAGGAACATTCTGACTAGAGGTAACCCTCTATTTAGACTTTACAACACATTTCAAACAAAGACCTAACCAGAACAATACTGCCTATTTTGATATCATTGTAATTCAAGGATATTTTACATATCTTGGACTCCTTGTGCTCTAGTAACTTGTTCTCAAAGAATAAGGTACATACTGGATGGCTATTAGAGTGCTGTGAAAACTGTAGGGTCAAAGCTTTACAGCATGACATTTGAAAATGCCATGCAAACCACCACAGGGCTGGATTACAGAGTCCCCACATATGCCAATAGTTATGAAGTAAACTATGTTTTATTTTTAGGATATATGGTAGCTACTTGGGTCCTATCAAAATACAGTAGTTGTCCTTTATTCAGCTTACATCCATGTGCCACTTTAACATGAAATGTTAAAATAAAATGATATCCACAGTGACAGTTGACCCAGTCCCCCTGTTCATCAAGATACTCAGGCTAGTTAATAATACTATTGGAGTTTTGATTCTATTTTTATTTTAATACTTTATCATGTTAATACAGACTTCTAAAGAGAGGTTTTTTTCAGCCCACTAGTTCTATCTTCTTTGATATGATTCATAACCTACCCTAAGTCTCTTCTAGCCTTAGGTACTGTTTTTAATTATTTTGTGCTGATAGCTATGCTTCTAAGAAGTCAGAAGGCAATGAACTGGCTTATTTCAGCATTCCTTTCTTTTTTGAAATTGATTTTTACTACCTCACAAATAACAATGATGCTGCAAAGTAATGGTGGTGAAGTTGGCAAAGACCATGAAGATGACTCTGATTCCAAGCAACTTTCTCCCTTGGCTCTAATCTAATAAATAGTTTTTGGTTTGTGGTATCTGCTACTTTGGCACTATTCTTGTCTCCTGTTATTGTTTTCTCAGTTTACAATACTTCAGCTTTACTTGAAAGACAGAAATATGGTTGCAGAAAAGTTATAGAAAAATAAATGATAAGTTTAAGCATATGGTTAATTTTTCGAAAATGGTTTTCTCTCCCTTACTTACTGACTTACCTTCACATCCCTGTGAATTATGTTATTATCATGACAGTAGCGCAGAGCTTCCAGTATCTGTCTCATGTAATGGCTGGAAAAAACAAGAGAAATCCCAAACTGTAAAATCTTGCAGTGTGAAAGTTCATATACAATGTCTCTATTTTATAATCCCCATCTTTATATCAGCTAGTCACAAACATCTTTCATTTGACTGAATAAGACAGTGAGACTTAATAAAAAAGTTGACAAACTATGTCCTTCAAGAAACAGAATGTTCTTCTGAGCTAAGTCAAAAGAATGCCACATAATCAATAAACAGCAATAAACACACTAAAGAGGCAAGCCTAAAATAATACACACACACACACACACACACACACACACACACACACACACACACACACACACACACACACACACACATAAAAACCCTCCAATATCTTGGTTAACTCTCTTTAGCCCAACTGGATTGCTATGAAGGAAACTGCTTGTAGCTATCAGAATGATTCCGACTAAAGGGGTCATGGCCTTCAGTCAGCCACTCAAAGCAGCTCTCGGCCTTGTGTCTATTTAGCCATAAGGAGATGCTACAGAAGCTCTATATGGGATTTCTCTTTGTAACGTAATCAGGCTTTAGCTAAGGGTACTCTTGAACAAAGCAAAGCTATTTCTAAACAGCTGGGGTCTGCAGGGGCTTCCACTGGGTACAGGTAAAGAACAGAGGAAGAATTAATGTTTTTAAAAAGTTTTAACACGGTCAACTAGTAACAGAGTATGACAAGTTCCTGTAGTTATGGGTTTATATCTGGATGAGATCATCTGAAGCTGAAAATGCACCCTAACTTATTACCAACCATTAGAATCTAAGCTTAGCTTGCCTTAAGTATACTCAAAACACTAGCATTTGCTATATCACACTGCATATCACTAAACCAGGAAAACCGGAAGTGTAGTTTCTACCGACTACACATCCATTTTATAGCACCATAAAGTACAGAATGGGGAAGTCAAACTAAGGCAAGACAGAGATGCCCTCCCTTTGCATCTCAAGCAGGCACTGTACAGAAGTACTCGATTTCAACACTTTATCATACAGTGTTTATTAAAATTGATTGTGTTTTCACAAAATAAACTAAATAAAATAAAACTAAACAATTTAAATTAGAGTACTCACAAAAGACCTTACAGGTATGTGTAACATTAAAACAAAAAGTTTTCCTGCTTTATAACTGAAAGATTTCTATCAAGTTTCCTTTGATACACTACGGTCTAACATGCTCATACAAATATCCCTCTAGTAAACATACGGGTTATTTTATGTATTATAATAGATTACAAGTTTCCCTTTAAAAAATAAGAGTAGAGGAGAAAACAATCCAAACTTAAAAGTAAACCAGTACGGATCGTCTGTCCTGTACGGATCCTCTCTCAATACCTGGGTCCTAAGCAGTTCTTACTGTGAGAAGAGACATAAAGGGCTTTGTCCAGGCCAGTGTAGCCTACAATTAAGTTTGGTTTAAGTCAGGGTGACTTAACCTACCACTGGGGACTTTTACTCATTCAAAGCAAACCTTGGAGGAGCTGTGCCTAACAACAAATGTCAAAGTGGCTTGAAACTTGCAGCAAAGTCACTATTAATATAGTTATTATTTAGTCAGTCTTAAATGCCAATCCAGATGTCAAAGTGGAGGATTTAAATTAGGCAGGGTGGACATGTACTCACAAGAGCCGATTATTTTAGATACATAGTACTAAGATAGCCACCTAAATTATTTTCAGCCTAAATAAAATTCTTATCTTCTAGCTTTACAAAGCCAAAGGAAACTCAACGAATGAGCATTTTAAAATGTGATTGTCACCACACTTCATTATTTGGCTAGATGAAGCTCAGTAGCAGAGGGTTTGCTTAACATGTACAAAGTTCTGGATTTAATGCCCAGCTGCTAGAAAAGAGGATAACTTATTATTTGATCCAAATCTGTATATATAGCAGAATCTCTAGGTCATATAAGGGGAGAGGAAGATTTTTTTCCTCTACAAATGGTTGCACATCTAAACTAATAACCTTCAACCTCTGAGTCAGGGTCCTCTAAGGCTACACATGGCAGAGAGTTGCTGACCCAAGTTTCAACCCAAAACCCTTTACTTCATGCATTACCACAGTCCATATTTTCAGAAAACCTCAGAAATACATATATTTTCCCTAATCTTCCCGAAGAATGAGAAAAAATGATAACTCTATACAAAAAAGAACTGTCCAACAGCTCATTTACTTCCTCTAAAACAATGGTTCTCAGCAGGGCTGTGGTGGCGCACTCTTTTAATCCCAGCACTTGGGAGGCAGAGGCAGGCGGATCTCTGTGAGTTCGAGGCCAGCCTGGTCTACAAGAGCTAGTTTCAGGACAGGCTCCAAAGCCACAGAGAAACCCTGACTCGAAAAACAACCACAAAAAAAATGGTTCTCAATCTGTGGGTTGTGACCCCTTTGGTAAACCTCTATCTTCACAAAATATTTACAATATGATTCATAATAGCTGCAAAATTATGAAGTAGCAATGAAATTAATTTTATGGTTGGGGGGAGCTATATTAATGGGTTGCAGCATTCTGAAGGTTGAGAACCACTGATCTAGAAGGAGATATTCTGAGGGTAAAGATGGCGGGTAACAAGAGATGACTCAGCTTACTCCTGTGGTCAACATTGGGTTTAAAAGTCTAAATATCTGCCGGGCAGAAGAGATCTGATCTCTGATATGTTCCTAGCTAAAGATTATCTATGGTAAACAGAACCAGGAATATTTGAGGTGTGGACAGCTTCACAGACAAGGTAATATAAGCCAACTAACTTTCTCAGGTATAAAACAAAGATGTTTCATAATGAAATGCTCTCTGAAGCGTGTGGAATCCACTAGCCCTGAAAAGAGAATTTATTCTAGACCAGAGGTGCATTGTTAGCTAACGCAGGAAGAAGTGGTGTGGGGAGCCCTTGATAATCCAGGTCTCTCCCTGCTTCAGATGGGGTTTTGATTGTCTTCATCCTTCAAATCAGTTAGCAAAGCTTGGCACTAGGAAAGAAATCACTGTGATTTTAAGAGTTGGAGTCGGTAGCCCGATGTTAGCCTATTCTACAACTCATTAGCACCGAAAGGATAGAGGCAGTCACTAACTGGGCTGTGTTACACTGTACTAAATAAGCACTACACAGATGTGTGCTTTGCGCCATATCGTGCTACTCTTCTTGAAATTCAGGCAGTTACAGAAAAATAGCTTTAGCCATTTGATTATTTGAGTCTTTAAGTCTTGCAGGTACTCACTAGAATACCCATACAGCTGAATTTTCTAATAGTAAATCACAGAACTAGAGAGAAGAAAGGAAAGTCAAAAGTCACTTGGCAAAACACTACACACCATGAGAAGACTTTCTACATCTGGCATAAGAGGGAACACAGCTAATGATGCCACCTGAGTCTCCCTGCTTCCCTTTTCATTGTTAGAGAAGAAGAGACTTTAATAAGTTGTGCCCAAACATTTCTGAGCAATGTCACTTACTGGTCCCACTGCTGTTCTTTTCTGCTCCATTCTGAAGAGATCCTTTCATAAAACCACCATTTATCAGCAAATATAAGTGGGTTTTAAAAAAAATCAATAAGCTTTTATCTTGACATATACACAAACATCTACTTTTTCTATAAGTCTCAAGATTGAGAGAGCCCAGAAGTCACTTAATTGCATGACATCACCTCCACATGTCTATATCAAGACACAGACCAACTGTAAAGCCAGGATTGAAGTTAAAAGAAAACCAAAGAGTTACCAAAATCTAGAGATGAGAGGAAAAGTAGTGGCCACCATGTATGCCTGGTGCTCCAGTGTTACTGTACTTCAAAAAGGAAAAAAAAAATCATCTTTACTGAGGGAGTTCAAAGAATGAAAATTTTGATTTTTCTTACTTTATGTTGTTTTTAATAACTGTACAAAGGCCACTAGAGGGTATGGGTAGAGCACTTGACCAGCATGCAAGAGGTCCTAGGTCCAGGTCAATGCTTAGTGATTAAAAAAATATAAAAATTTCTTTGAATTCTTTAAGAAATGTGGGGGGGGGGGGGGCTGGAGAGATGGCTCAGCGGTTAAGAGCATTGCCTGCTCTTCCAAAGGTCCTGAGTTCAATTCCCGGCAACCACATGGTGGCTCACAACCATCTGTAATGAGGTCTGGTGCCCTCTTCTGGCCTGCAGACATACACACAGACAGAATATTGTATACATAATAAAAAAAAGAAATGTGTGTGTGTGTGTATACACAAAACTCTGATAGTTCCATTTACTTTAATAAGGTATTTGACAACAATGGCACAAGAAAAATCAAGATAACACTGGAGTTACACTTTTTGGAAGCACAACCAATGATGACAATTTAAAAATTGTGATATAAGCTCAAAAATAGAAGAGAGGGATTTGAAAACAACTAGAACATGCTTTAGAGAGCATGATACACAGGAGGATATTTAGTTTTCATTCTATCATATGTCAGTGATACAAGCAAATAGTATAGCTAACATAGTAAGTCTTCTCTTGCTTCTTTTTCCCAGCTCCAGGAGCACAAAAGCAGCAACTATGCCACACTGCGCATATTCTTGTTTACATTCACTTCATCCTCTACACTGGGGCCTCTTGCTCCTCAGCCAATCCATACAGGGCTACAAGTTGTATTAAGGTAGTTATACAGCTCTTTCTAACTATGTCCTTCTAGGATGCTATAGTTAGAAAACGAATGATAGGAAAGTTATAATCACTCAATGTAACTGTTTTTCAAATGATAAAACAGTTTACTAAATCCTTGTAGGTTTGTGAGTCTTAACCCTTCACCATAATGTGGCCAGCGACTGAGGAGGTATTCTCTAGGTCATGTATCAAATCAGTAACCTGCCAGTGCATAATATGCTGGGACTGAATGCAACCAAAGCAGAAAGCTGTATTGCTTTAAGTCTATAAGCTAGTGGTGCAGTGCATGCATGGCTACTATCATTTTTCATATTTACTTCTCTTTTGAGTCATTAGGTTTTTATGACTACTGCTCCACTTAGTGTAACAGTCATTGCTTTGGTTGAGAGACCTGAAGCAACAGATTCAGCAGAAAAATGGTGCTTTTATTTTTGCTCCTCTTGTTCTTCTGTGCTCTCCTTATATTAACTGGCCACATAATAATCTGAAAATCACTTAAAAGGAAAAGGAAAATGCAGAGCCAATGAGGTACAATTTGAAAAACCTTCAAGCATAATTCTACGTGGTTTCTGGGCTACCAAACCACTCTTTGTAGAAAGACACCAGGAATGGGTAAAATAAAAGCATTTGTGTGCAAAAGCAAAGCCATGCTAGCAGATACAGGGTTTGGCATTCATTTCATATTTCCAGATACTGTGAGCTTCTACCATACATACATACTGAAGCAGCTAAGTTATCTGCAGAGGCCCCAGCAATGTGCTTGCAGACAGGAGAGCTGGTTACTTCTTATAATTTCATGACAAATTCTGTCTCTTCCTTCTACTTTACTTCTGGGAAGTATATGCAGATTACATACCTGGCTACAGCTTCACTGTACACAAAACCAGCATCAGCTCGCTTTACGATTTCAAAACACAGATCTGCTCCATCCATACTGCAGAGAAATGTGGAAAAGAAAATTAGAAAAGAGAAATTTCCAAGACAGCGTTCTAAGTGAACACATCGTTGTTGGGTGTTGACTGACTACTGATTATTGTGAATTATTTAAATCTTCCACTCTTTCCATGAAAAGCACACACAATTATAACCACCTGTTGAAAATCTACAGAAAAAGGAACTTTTAGGGAGATTAAGCTAACAGAAATATCAAACAACACAATATTGTAGTAATAAGTCTCAGAAGAGAGCAACTCTAGAGGTGGTGGGTATAATTTTTGAATTAAATTACCAAATTTTCTATGTTAAGTAATGTAGTGTTTTAAGAATACAAAGGTTTTTTAAACAATATTTTTAATAGTTATCATCAATAATGGGAAATTTAAATTACATTCTGTGAAAGGAAAAAATAAGCCAGTACAAAATTTATTATACCTTCCATTATCCAAATCAATTACTACAGACACATTCTAACACACTGATGTGATGGTAATATCCTGTTACTACCTTGCCCTAAAATTAATTCTCAATTTCTCATCTTAATTCTCAATTTCTCACCCTGTAAGTAAGTATACTTTGATCTAATCTACCCATTGACGTTTTAAGGAAATCAAACTGTACACAGGCGGATCTTAACATGCCATTTCCTCTTTCTGGTATATGCTCTTGTAATACTGTTTTTCATATCTAAAACATACCTTAATTCAAATTTCCATTCCATTCCCTTCTACAAAGAAATCTCCCTCATGACTGCTAGCTTTTAATTGCTAGTAAACTACAGTCTGCATCATAACTTTGAGGCTTTATATAACCTACGCACATACCAATATACAGATACATATATGAAACTCATGCAAGATTACTTGTATTAAAATTACTCAAATATTTTTTTAATTAATTTATTTATTAAAGATTTCTGCCTCTTCCCCGCCACCGCCTCCCATTTCCCTCCCCCTCCCCCGATCAAGTCTCCCTCCCTCATCAGCCCAAAGAGCAATCAGGGTTCCCTGACCTGTGGGAAGTCCAAGGACCACCCACCTCCATCCAGGTCTAGTAAGGTGAGCATCCAAACTGCCTAGGCTCCCCCAAAGCCAGTACATGCAGTAGGATCAAAAACCCATTGCCATTGTTCTTGAGTTCTCAATTGGATGAAGAAATTATGGAATATATACATATTAGAGTACTACTCAGCAGTAAAAAACAAGGACTTCTTGAATTTTGCATACAAATGGATGGAAATAGAAAATGTAGACAGAATATTGTAAACATAATAAATAAATAAATAAATAAATAGATAGATAGATAGAGTTTTAAGCTTTTTAAATACTGATCCCAAATAGTGATTATTAGTTTCTTCTATAGGTATTATATTTATATATAGCGAGTTCTCGCTCTTTCCTCCCTCCCTTTCTTCTTTACTGTAGTACTGAGGATAGAATGCAAAGCCTCACACAAGCTAGTTAAGCACTCCAATACTGAGTTATGTCCCTAGCTCTGGTACTTTAGTTAATAATAAATGAGATCTTTTTAACATTATATTGTTTTTTATTCAGAGATTCATAATCAGGAGCACTGAACAAAATCACAGGCATAACTTTTAAATATACAAACATGTTTTAGGAAGGATTGTTTGGAAAGACATCTGATTATTTATAACAGTAACTGATATTAAGTAAAAGCAATGTGCTAATTTTAAGCTTCATGAGATACAGAAGTAAAAACTAAAAATATTGTTATTTACGCAAATTTTATTCACCATAAATTTAATCTATACATATTCATAGTTTACAATCCTGATATAATAATAACCTTGAACGTTTTAGACAAAACTGATGATTTGTTTCCTTTGATACATTATTTGAAAGTATAATACTTCCAAAATAGTGATAAAGCTTCTTTTACTGCTTTTCTCTTTGGTTTCTCTTCTTGGCGTACTTATTCAGCAGTTCACAAATCTTCAAAGGGCATGTTTTACATTTTCCTAGGTGTCTCCTATGAGAGTGAAATGAAAGGGAGAAGAAATTTTGTTTGGAAAAGGATGGGGAGGGCTTCTGTACTGCACACGGAGAGAAACTAGGGAAGTTTGCTATAAATCATGAAAAGTGGTGGAATTATGAATAAACGACTTTAACTGCTCATTCTTTCTGTCTATATGAATCAAGAATTATTTATATATTAAGAAAATGATCCAAAGTCAATGTATCAAACAAAATAGGTCACAAGGTATGATTGCATGTGTACTGAAAAGGATGAGAATATGCTACTCCCAATTCTGCCACTATGGTCTAAGGATGATTTTGAGCTGAAAGCATGGCATCATACATTATGATTTCAGAGTCATGCCAAATTGTTACAGTAATTTGTACACATTTCCAGTCAGTTTCTATACTGGTCTCCAAAGCACACCAACTTGTAAGAGATGGCAGATTGGCATTTGTATGCAAATGACTCCTTGAGGAACACTGTTATAAAGGACAGACAAATTTCTCTGACTAGCATTTTCCCTGAAGATGACAAAACAACCAGAAAACCTAGATGAAATTAGAAAAAAAATTTACATCTTCAAAGAGGAGCACAGCGAGTTGAAAACAGAGAAACATTAGAGCTCAAAGACATGAGCAAGAAGAGCTGCTTGTGTTCTGGGCAGTGGGGGTGGTGAGGTAGGGTGGTGGTGGCTTGCAGAAAGTGAGTCATACAAAGGAGGCAGATGTAGGAGAAGACTTTTGGGGAACTATAAAGTGATAGGGTTCTGATGCTTCTGCACCTGGATGCTCTAAGAGGGGAGAGTCAATTCTTGTCTGGCAGATGTCTGAAGAGTCTGCAATAGTCTAAACAGCTGCATTTTGAAAACTGTGATATAGAGTGCACAGAAACCCCTAAATGTTTATTATTAGTTACTAGGTAGGTAAAAGTTAAGCTTAGAGATTTCAGCAAAAGTAAGCATTCAGGGTATGTTTCCTGGTAATAATGCAGTTATGACTGAAGTAAATTGATAAAACAACAATAAAATTCCCCTAAAAACTTGTTAGTTGAAGAAAGTATGTACAGTAACTGATTAATCAAGGAAAAACTCATAATGATAATTAGAAAAAATTCTAACATTGATAAAAAATAGTAGATGTCAAAACTTATGTAAGATTGAGGTATTGGCCTAGGTGTGTTAGTGTACACCGTTAATCCCAATATTCTAGAAGCAGAGGCAGACAGGATTACTGTCAGTCCTAGGCCAACGTGGTATATACAGTTGAGTTCCAGCACTACAATTTAGTAAGTTGGGGAATAGTTCTAATCTTCCACTGTAAGAAAGCAATCCATGTAACACACACACACACACACACACACACACACACAGAGAGAGAGAGAGAGAGAGAGAGAGAGAGAGAGAGAGAGAGAGAGAACATGGCCTTGGAGAAACTTTTGTTTAGTCAGCAAATTTATTGTTCATGGAAAATATATCAATAATCAATATTAACCTTTCTGAGAAAGAACTTTATAGTGCTTGTCAAATTCTTTAAAATATACATGTGTTCCTTGACTCAGTTAATTTTATTCTAAAGGGAAGACTTAGGGATATCTCCCAGTTTTAATGAGAATGGTTTATCATAGTTTATTAATAAGAGGAAATTGGAAACAATTGAAATTGCAGTACTAGAAGAATGTCTATATAAACTGGCAAGCTCACATCACATTAAATGATGTTCTATATTATTGACATAATAAGACACATAGGCAGATATACATATATGTGTGTGTGTTTGTGTGTGCAGGTGTCTAAGATGTAGAATAGGAACGGAGTACTAAAGAGTGGCTAGAATGGCCCTTTAAACACTTGGCTTCCTTTTACTTTTTTATAAGCAAACAGGCATTTATCACATGAGATCACTTCTAATCTTTCTAAAATGTGAAAAGGTTCCTTCAGAACAGCACTAAAGTAGGTCTTGCAAAATCGTTTGAATCCATTAATCTGTGACAATGATTTTGTCTTGCTGTAATAAAACAATTAAGTTAGTATTTAGTACATAGTTATGTGATGGGCATTTTCTTGGTGGTTTTTTTTTTTTTTTTGGTTTTTCGAGACAGGGTTTCTCTGTGGTTTTGGAGCCTGTCCTGGAACTAGCTCTGTAGACCAGGCTGGCCTCAAACTCACCGAGATCTGCCTGCCTCTGCCTCCCGAGTGCTGGGATTAAAGGCATGTGCCACCACCGCCCGGCTTTTTCTTGGTGTTTTACATTCACTAGTTTATTCACTGGCTACAAGAAGTCTATTAGGGGCTGGAGAGATGGCTCAGTGGTTAAGAGCATTGCCTGCTCTTCCAAAGGTCCTGAGTTCAATTCCCGGCAACCACATGGTAGCTCTATAATGAGGTCTGGTGCCCTCTTCTGGCCTGCAGACATACACATAGACAGAGTATTGTATACATAACAAATAAATAAAAAAATATTAAAAAAAAGAAGTCTATTAGGTAAGGTAGTACAAGAATCCCCATTTTATTTAGCAGAAAACTGAGAAACAACACAGGATAAGTGAAAGGTCACATGATGCTTTTTTCTCTTAACTTTTCAAGGCAATATCTTACTACATAGCCCTGGCTGGCTCTGACCTCTGATAAGGTCAGGATTCAAACTCTGGAAGTCTGACTTTGAGGTTCATGTACTACCCCTGAAACTGGTTAGGTTTCAAAGAGTAAAACATCCTAATTCTGTGCATCATTCATTTTCATGACAACTACGGGGGTCCCATGGTCTAGATCACTGTACTCAAGAGTGTGAGTGCGTGTGTGTGTGTGTCTCAGAATGCAGAGCTTCCCATCCTCACTCTAAATAATATATGTAGATGCTATTATTGTTGCTGTCGTTTAAATGAGTCCTCTAACCACCTACATTTAATAAGCCTCCCTGTGTGTGTATTGATCTTTTAAGACCAAGGTCTTACTCTGTAGTTCAGGCTGGCCTAGAACTCAGAGGGCTCCCTCTGAATTCAGTTTTTAAAGTGCTAAGA